CCTGCAGCCAAGGAGAATGTCATAGGTAGGGGCTCATCACCCATGACTTTTAGAGTCATGCACAAAGCAGGCGTTCGATAAATATTTGTTGAGTGGATTAATGAAAATAACATGGTGAAGACTTATTTTTATAAGTATTAAACAATCTTCATGAGAGTCTTATGATTTCCTGCTTGCTGATGACTAAACCCCAATCTTTCCATATGTTGAGAATAGTTTAAAAGGTAAGTCTAATACTTACCACCGAGTGGCAATAGTTATTCCACAGGAGGTATAAGAATAATATCAAATATCACCAATATAATCACAATACATTAACATTTTATATTTCAAAAGCAATGTGTTGTTTATAAATCACTTTCTCATTTAATCTTCATAGACATTACACAGAATATAACAAATCTTATTGTTGTTTTTTTGATGGCAGAAAAGGGAAATAGGTGAAATCTACCATAAACCAACTAAGAAAGTCAAGGAAAAAAAAAACTTTTGAACTGAAGGGAACCTGGACATTGATCTTGTCCAACCTCCCAAGAAAATCTGGTTAAACATGTTTTTCCGTTTCATTATAACTGGACTATTTTCTCCTACCTTATTCAAAAAGCTCTGCACATCATCTTACTAATTCTACCTGTCAGTAGAGAAATGGAGCAAGATGCTGGTACTGCCTGTTGGAACAGCAACAAAACCTTTACCTACAGGCTTGACAGGTATGAACATGGCCTTTAAACCTCACAATGGGGAAAAAAAAAAGAGGTGCTGGAGTGTGGCCTCCTAGGAAGACTCCCTTATCAACTGGAAAAAAGAGATCTTGATTTTTAAATTGCCACCCAGGCTAAACAAATTACATCTGATAAAGTTAAGAGTAAAAGATACATTCTGCATTCCACAAAACCAAACACCTAATCCAAACAGATTTTATCTCAGCTCAGTTTAGAAGCTGGTGAGAAAAAGTAGAATTGTCCCTTCATGTCATATTCATTCAGTTCAACAAATAAATATCCTACCACTTTCCAGTACCATGCAAGGCAGTGGGTGATACATACAATTATTTACGATTAGCCAGTTACCACATATCTCCCTGAACTAAATGAATAAAAAAAAGTTACTGTCGAGTCAATTCCTACTCATGGCAACCCCATGTGTTCCACAGTAGAACTGTACTCCATAGGTCTTCAACGGCTGTGACCCTGAAAGTAGATCGACAGGCCTGTCTTCGTAGGTGCCTCTGGATGGATCTGAACCACCAACCATTCAGTTAGTAGCCAAACAGTTAAAAACCTTGTCTTAAACATTAAGGGACAGTCCCTCACCTTATCTATCACCTCTAATTGAGAGTACTTCTCTCAAGTTAAGAAATCAACAGTAACTTCTGAAATACAGATTCTTCATCTGTTTTAATATCTCAATTCTATTAAAAGCTGTTAAAAATAGCACCTCCATCTTTCTCTCACTTCTATTCCTTTCTACTCTCCTCCACAGGAAAAGGTTAAGTGATGACATCCAGTCCAAAGAACAATGGACAATACATACACACAGCTCCCTCTTGCAACTTCCACAGCAGTAAGAAAGTCAAACACCAATTAAAAAAAGAAGAAAAAAAAAGAAGACACACATCATTATTCCTGTCAAGTGTACAGATGAGGCGCTTACTCTAGTCCAGAAACTCAGCAAAATCTGGCAAGTCAAACCTGGAATGAAAAGGAGCCTTTCTTTCTGGGTACTAAGTAAAAGAAGTACAGCCAGACTGCTCCTTGGAAGCGAGGATGGCAAGACATCGTCTCATGTACTTTGGACATGTTATCAGGAGGGACTAGTCCCTGGAAAAGGACATCATGCTTGGTAAAGCAGAGGGTCAGGGAACAAGAGGAAGACCCTCAACGAGATGGTCTGACACAGTGGCTGCAACAATGGGCTCAAGCATAACGACTGTTAAAATGGTCCAGGACTGGGCAGCATTTAGTTCTGTTGTATACAGGGGCTATGAGTTGGAACCGACTTGATGGCATCTAACAACAAGTAAAAGAACCTAGAAATTGATTTAATTTTAAAATAAGATCACAGACACTGTCAAATAAATTTTTATTTTTCAGAAATTGGTTTTTCATAAACATCAGAAAAGTTATGCATAAGGAAAAAAGTCAATTTGAAAGAAGAAGAAACGAATGATCTGTCGTAGATCATTTTTTCTGAAAGCTGTTAGGCAAAACGTAAATACAAAAAGATCACCTCAGGAGGAGTTTTTTTTGTTTGTGTGTGTGTGTGTGTGTGTGTGTTTCAGTCCAATCTCAGTAAAAACTGGACTTAATGCTTAAAGATTTTCTTAAACCTTTTGATTGGGGATACTTTGCACACTCAAAAACTGAACTGTTTCCTTTAAGATTCTTTTCCTCACCTCCAATAATTACCTAAATAATGCTTTGCTGAAGAAGAACTGGCACATTTGAATTACGGTATTGGCAAAGAATACTGAATATACCATTGACTGTCAGAAGAATGAACAAATTTGTCTTGGAAGAAGTACAGCCAGAATGCTCCTTAGAAGCAAGGATGGCGAGACTCATCTCACGTACTTTGGACATGTTATCAGAAGGGACCAGTCCCTGGGGAAGGATGTCATGCTTGACAAAGTAGAGGGTCATTGAAAGAAATGAAGACCCTCAATGAGATGGACTGACACAGTAGCTGCAATAAGGGGCTCAAGCAAAGCAACGACTGTGAGGATGGTGCAGGACCAAGCAGTGCTTCATTCTGTTGTACCAAGGGACACTATGAGTCGGAAACGACTCCACAACACCTAACAACAATGCTTTGTTACTTTTTATGGGAATGTCTCACTACACTTGTGATTTTTTTAAAATAGCAAAGTTAAGGTGACAAAATAATAATTTTTTAAAACATAAGCTAAACTAGCGTAGGGGCGTGACAGGTAAAACAGGAAGGAATGTCAAGTTTGGGGCACATTATTTTGACACCAAACTGATAGTAAGCTGGCAAACAAATTAATCTGCTTTTAGGGTAAACTAGAGCCCACAAACATTCATCTACCCACAATTAAATTATGCCTATCTGAAAACCCCGGTGGCGTAGTGGTTAAGAGTTCGGCTGCTAACCAAAAGGTTGGCAGTCCCAATCCACCAGGCGCTCCTTGGAAACCCTATGAGGGTAGTTCTACTCTGTCCTATAGGGTTGCTATGAGTCTGAATCAACTCTATGGCAATAGGTTTGGTTTATTTTGGTTGAGAGATTAATCTGACTAATTAACCAGTGTTTACAATATTGTTTTCACTAACTGTTTTGGTAGGTTTGACACCTCAAAGATAGCCTTTGATGCAATCTGTAAATTTAAAACACACCTAGTGCAAAAAGAAAATAATAAAATGATCAGAACCACTTGATTTTCTCTTTAGGAACTAAGCTAAGTATTTAAAATTAGCTTTCAATAGTATAGGTAATGTTGCTCTTTCCTATTTGGCAATTATCCTCAGCAACTTTGGCTTTAATTTGGGCATAATACTGTATTTTACAAGACAAGCTACAAATTAACCAGTTACTTAATTTAGAAAATAATCTTCCAGTCACATTAGGCAACTCTCTTAACCAACATGGCACTTTGCATTTTAAAGCATGCTTTACATCAGATAATATGCTTAATGGTAGTGGGTGGATATCGTCCCAAGATCACAAACATAGAGGAAGTTACTGCCATCAGCAGAAGAATAACAAAATAACAAAACAGAATTTGAACTCAGATTTTTTGACTCTGGTCCAGTGCTCCACTCACAAGGTCAAGTTTTAACTGCAATGACCATCCTCCCTCACAAGCTCATCAAGCCACAAAGCTTTAGGGAAAACATTTTCTCCATGTAAACTAAAATAAGCCCAAATACACAAACAACATTACAAAACCAGTCATTGTCCAACATTTCTTTATCAGGAAAGCATTCATAGTCTTTCTTAGTACAGCCTAAAGTGTAATTCCTAGAAGGCGCTCGCAAATCTCTGCCAGGCCAATCTGCAGTAGAAAACCGAGTGCATGTGTCCAACAAGATGACAGGAGGGCCAATGTTTTTAACTCTACTCCAACTCTGCATTGCAACAGCGGTTCTGTCTCACAAGGTAAACATAGTAATTGTATAGAATCTGACACAGCCAATGTAAATGAGGATTCCCTTGACCAGAAACATGCAGCTATGGGGAAATGTAATTTCTGGAACAATACATGGTGCTTGCATAATTCCACAAAACAAACACACAAATCATTTTTTAAAATAACGTTCAGTCCCAGCTCTGTGCTGACACTTTTCCTACCTAAACTTCTCAGTACAAGCCTAGCCTAAAAGCACAGTAGGGACCCAATCCCTGCACAGGGTAAAAGCAGCATGCACCCACGGTTTGAGCTGAACGGCGGGGCTTTGCCTGCCAAGTCCTGTTTCGGCCAGGTTGTGATGTAGTTTAGTCGCGTCTACTTTACGGTAATGTTCTTTTAAAACCCCGCCGCGACCGAGGTCATAGCTTTAGAGATCTAATAACAACCAAATGACCGAGGCTGCCAGGCACTTAGTAAGCCTTTCTGGTTATGGCTCTTTAATAGTACCTGGAGTTCTGCTGGAGGGAGAGCGGAAAACTCCTGCTTCCCCGGAAAGAAAGTCCTTTGCGGGGAGCGCAGAGGAAAGCAAAGACACCGACCGCAGGCAGACGCCCCGCCGCCGCGGCCCCATCTCTCGGGCAACCCCAGCGCGACCCTCGCCCCGCAGCCCGGCTGGCCCCGGCCGCACCTTTACCTGTCAGTCCCACCACCCACTCTGTGCTGCTGCCGCGCGGCCCCGACGGCCGCCTTTCCGACTCCCGGGCACAGCTTTTCAGCTGGCTGCAGGAGAAAGAACCCCAAAGGCATCCCATCCCAAAGAAAGAAAGCAAAAAGCCTGTCCCTCCAGGCGGAGGGACATCGGGCACGTCGGAAGCTGAGAGGTGACACGCCGCCCCTGTCCCGCACCTACCAGATAATCCATGTACAGAAACGCCTCAGTTATCCGGAGATCAGACATCCGGCAGCCTAAAGCATCCGGAACGGCTCCGAACCCGGAAAAAAAAAGCAGCGTCTCTGGCTGCGAGCGAGCAGCCCTTGAAAAGCCAGCAACAGCGAAAATAGCCGAGAGCAGCCGAGGAGACGAAGATTACACAAGGGGCGCGGCGATTGGCCGGTCGCGCGAGAAGAGGGAAAGGATAGCGCTCATTGGCTGCGGCACCTATAAAAGGCAGGCCATTGCGGGTGGTAGGAGAGAAGCGCGGGAGAGGCGAGGGTGCTGGTTTCAGTCTGGAGGGCGGAGGGGCGGGCGCAGGGCGGTGCAAGCAGAAGAACGAGCCGGGGAGAGTGGAAAATCGGCAGGTGCTGCAAACCGCCGGCGTTGTGTGTGCTTCCGCAAGTCTCCTGGTCAGATAAACGGAGCAGAGCTCCATGCTCCAGTACCAGGGAACCTTGGAGTCCCCTCCCAGCCACTCCCCAATAGGAAGCAAGCGTTGCAACTTGGGAGGCGAGGTAGCCACAGACCCTTAATGTCTCTCTTGGGAAAGATTTCCTAAAGGCTTTGCGGTCACGAAACGGTACCGCAGGGACGACAAGTGTGGAAGAGGGTACTTTGTGAACAGGCAAACCGGTACGTGACTCGGGGACCGGAAGACCCCTCTTCACCTTGGTCATGTGAAACTGCTAAGGCGGACAACTGCAGCCTGATGTCCCTGGGGGTACACACACCACACACACAGGAGGCGCCGTCTTATCAGAGCTCCAGACTGCCGCCTGCCTGAGAACTCTATCCACCATGTGGAAGAAAAAAAGTTTAGAGATTCAGTGTTGTCAGTTGTAATTCTCAAACACTCGGGAAGAAGAACTAATCAATATTTGGCATGCATGCTTTAACTTCAGTTACACTGAACATAAATCCAACGCCCCTGAATAAAAAGAGCAATAGAAAAAGAAGCTCTCTGAAAAGATTCCAGTAAAGTAACACTTGTGACCCGATGTCGCTTTAAGAGATAAAAAATATGTATGGACAGATGCGCTTGAGACTAGTACATTTCCTTCACCGGGAAACTGGTGTTGGGTTTTCATTAATGCATTGAGCTGAAAAGGGTTGAATCAGATAAGCTAAATAAGAACACTCCAGGGCTTTAGTATGTGAACAACTACGCTATACCGGAGAACACCCAACATACCAGAGTGAGGTGATTACAGTGACCCCCAGGAGTTAAGGAGAACGGAGGATAAGGGGATTGCTCTCATCTGTATTATTAATAATTAGAGCTTCCACACAATAACGTTTCAAGAGTGAAACATCAACTAAAACCTTTCTGAAGTGACTGCTTGATCGTATAAATGTTCTTTTACCCACAGCCATCCAGTCGATTCCGACTCATAGTGACCCCATTGGGTTTCCAGGGCTGTAGATCTCTAGGAAGCAGACTGCTATCTCTTTCTCCTGCAGAGCTGCTGGTGGTTTCCAACCAACAACCTTTAGCTTAACAGTCGATTGCTTTAACCACTGCGCCACCAAGGCTCCTGACACCTTCCCTTTTTGTATCCCCAGGTAATTAACATCTGGGGCTGCCAAAGCCGTTCTACTTTTAGATAACAGTGGAATTCACCTAATCATGCAGATAAACCAGGGAGAGTACAGCCCTTTAGAAAGAGCACAAGGTTGATGAGCCACGTGACTTTGAGTATGTTATCTAATCTCTCTCAACCTCTTCCCTCAACTGAAAAATGAGAATTCCTACTGCCAGAGGATTTTTGAAGGAATTAAAAAACTTTGAATATACACAGTACAGAGCTTGGCATAGAGTGGCTTTATGCCTATCAGGATTACTTTGTTGACTCAATTTACAGACAAGGATGTGTATATAAATAATATAAAATACTTCTGAAGAGATTCTAATAAGATTTTCCCCCTATGCAGTCACTGACTAGATTTAATTTCGTTGAGCTGTGAGACCCAATTTTGATTTTTCTTGGCATTCTGTTGTTAAACACGTGTAGGTTTAGAAGAGGTGGTGACCTGGATTCTGGAAATCGTGGATCCGTAAACCCACAGACTTCAGGGTGGCACAAATGGTTAAGCACTGGACTACTGTCTGACAGGCTGATGGTTCAAACCTACCCAAAGGCACTCTGGAGAAAGTCCTGCCAATCTGCTTGCAAAAGTCACAGCTTTGAAAACCCTTTGGAGCAGTTCTTTGCACACATGGGGTCACCATGAGTCAGAGTTCACCTACAACTAACAACACAGCCTTCAGTACAGTTGGTTGAAGCTACTGTAATTGCAAAAGTTGAAGTCCTCTCAAACTTGCTAGCAAAAAATAATTCAAATAGAGAAGGAAATTTTTTTTTCCTTCTTCTTTCCATGAATAGAACATATTGTAAGTAAGATAAAGGGGCAAGCTAGCAAAGAGACCCCTTTCGGGCCATTGTCTTAGTGGTAAATGATGTCTTGACTACTGCCAATTCAGAATCTTGAGAGGCCTGTCAATTTATACAGGGGAAGATAACCACCCAGGTTGGCTTCTGCCTTTGCTTCAAAAGCTAACCTTAAAGAAAGATAGTCCTTCTAAACAGGAGGCCATTAGGCTAGACATTGTTCATACTGCCTCCAGAAATTAGTAAATGGGCCCAAAGCACAGAAATGAAAGAATTTGTGCAAGGAAAACTTCCAAAGTCTACACCACTGTTTTTCCCTTATTCTGTACAATTTTTGTGTTCATTGTGACTGACATTAAGGAAATTTGTGTGTTTGATGTAACGTATTAAAAGAATTATATATTGCATTTTGGAAGTGTCCTTGTAAAAAAACCTGAAGTTTCGGAACTGCATATGGAGCACATTTTCCAGTTAGATGTTAATCTTCTGGGCTGTTAATGTGTCCACCCTTGTGCAGAGGAAAGAGTGTAACTTGACTGTGTTAGCATAAACAGATAATATACTACACTCTTTGTGAAGCAGCTGTCTTACCTGATAGGGTTGGTAGCAACAGCAGTGTGGTAATCACTCCAATGTAGGCTTTTTAAAAAGAGTGTACAGTGGTTAGAGTGCATTCATTCAAGCTACTAAATGCCAAGTAATGGACTGCAGTCTTGAATAAGACTTGATCTCATTAACCCAGTTGTGTCCTAGCCTCAGTAGAAAGAATGACCCTCTTCCAGGTGCATAAGAAAATGTGTGTAAATTCATGGGGCAATTGCATTACGAAGCCTCTACCGACAGAAAAGTGGTGGTTGCACATGAGGTCCGTTAGCCCAGTGAGTCTCCCACATGGGAGACAAGAATTGTACCACTGAAACACCACTTCCCTCAATCTTTCTCTGCCTCCCTTTTACAAGGACACGTGCTACATTTAGGCCCATAAATTCCAGGATAATCTCTCTCCCCATGCTAAGATCCATAGTTTAATCACATCTGCAAAGTCATTTTTGCCATGTAAAGTAGTACTCGAGGTTCTAGGGCTTAGGACATCTACATATTTGCGAGCCGTTGCTCAGCGTACCACATTGATCTTATCATGATATGCAGATAAAGCACATACTTCCATGGAAGTCCAAAGTGGCAAGCGCAGTATGAATGCCTAAAGGATCAGAAAACTGGGGATAAACTCTCAACCTTAGAAAGAACTTGATTTCTTAAAAATTTTTGATGTAGTCCCAGGATCCTTTCTAACTCTCTTTACACAATCTAGTTACTTCTCTTCTGACATTTGAGTATAATTATCTTCCCAAAGTGTGTCATCTCCCTCTGTTGTACTTTTGGTCTCCATTTCTTTTGATCACTGTTTATGGATTGAATTATGTCCCCCAAAAATATGTGTTGTAAATCGTCTATGCCTGTGGTTATAATCCCATTTGAGAATGGGTTGTCTTTGTTATACAAGGGTAAGCCAAAAAGCATTACTATAAAATCATAGAAACCTTTATTAAACCAAAATATGAGAACGTGAAGCTATTGTTTCTTGACATATCCTCCATCTAGGTCTATATACTTCTGAAGGCAATGTTTCCATCTCTCTAACCCTTCTCTGAAGAATTCTGCACTCGTTTATTCACCACTTCAAAACAGCAGTTTTGGCATCCTCAAGGGACTCAAAATGTGCTCCTTTTAAATGTTCTTTGAGTTTTGGAAACAAAAAGAAGTCTGAAGGGGCAAGATCAGGGCTGTAGGGTGGATAGGGTAAGGTTTCCCAGTGAAATTCTAGTAGGACAGCCCTTGCTACCCTCAAAGAATGAGCAGGTGCATTATCTTGATGGAAAAAAATTCCTCAGTGCATCTCTCTGGCCCTTTTTCTCACCAATGCAGTTTTCAATTTTCTTAAAACTTCTTCATAGTAAGCCCCTGTGATCGTCCTGTGTCCTTCAAGAAAATCTATCAAGACTATCCCTTTACAATCAAAAAAAAAAAAACAGTCATCATAACCTTTTGAGCAGTCTTCCCTCTCTTGGCTCATCTTTGAGGTCTTCCCGACCTTCCTTAAAACGTTTGATCCATCTAAAAACTGTTGTTTTATGTGGGACAGCATTCCCATAAACTTGTTGCAAAGTTACAATGATTTGGGAAGATGTCCACTTGAGTTTTGTTAAAAATTTGGTATTAGCCTTGACCTCAAAATTGTTTTTTTCCATGGCACAAAAAGTATTTTTTTTTTTTAAGGCACCCTAATGAGACTAAGACAAGTGCATTACTGAGAAAACTTGTCTATGGACATCCAGAGATTGCAGAGACGTGTTTAAACATGTTTTGTAGGAAATAAACCCACACATGTATGATCTGGAACCTTAATAACAATACTTTCTAACTTACCCTCTTATTAATGAGGCAGGATTAGTGTAGGGTGTATCTTGAGTCAATCTCTTCTGAGATATAAAGGAGATTAAACAAGCAAACAGAAGAGAGATGGGTAAGATAGATTCTAAGACACACGGAGATCTCCAAGGAACCAGGAAGCAGAAGCTCAAGACACAAGGACTTTCCTCCAGAGTTGACAGAGAAGGAAAGCCTCCAGAGCTGACTGAGAGAGAAAGCATTTCTCTAGAGCAGGTACCCTGAATTTGGACTTCTAGCCTCCTAAACTGTGAGAAAATAAATTTCTGTTTGTTAAAGCCACCTATTTGTGGTATTTTTGTTATAGCAGCACTAGATAACTAAGACAATCACAGTCAATGTTTTAACTTTTTTTCAGACCCTCTCTCTCATTTCCTTTACTTCCTTACCCATGGCTAAAGTTACTACTTCATAACAATTTTTT